TTCCTCATTTTGCAAACTGTTATATTAATATTAATATTAGTAACGTCATTTTGCTCTTGTATTTGCTTTTCATGTAAATGAGGTCATCATTTATTATTATTATTATTATTATTATCATTATTGTTGTTCTTGTTGTTTTTCTTTCTTTCTTTCTTTTTACTATTTATCTGTTTATTCATCTATCCATTTACTGACGATCTCTTAACTCTTTATCCATCCAATCGCTCATGTATCCAATCCATTCATTCAATCATCTCTCTATGACAGTTTTCCTATTTGCAATTTATTAGTTTATACCCATTCCTTTTTCGCCAATATCAGTGTTCCCTTAGCTATTTATTCATCCATTCACCCATTTATCCTCTCCATTTATGTGTCCAATCCATGTGTTTATTTATTGCCCTTATTGCCGTTCTTTTGTCTATCTATTTATCCAATAATCCGTCTCTTACCATCATTACTATCATCCTTTACCTGTATGTCTTGTTTCGCATCCGGGGCCTCGTGAGTACGACCAGGTTGAGGACATTGGCGAGGACGCCGATGAACACGAGGATAGGGAACGACACCTGATACACCCAGTAGTATAAGGAGTCCAGTCGTTCAACTTCGAAGTCGTCCAAACTGGCGCTGTCGCAGAAGGTCGTTGCGGTCGTCGGCGAGGTGAAGCTCATGGTCGCGCGCTGATACTTCATCTTTAGTTACCGTCGAATTTCCCGTTTTCTTTGGCGGTGTTGATTTTCCCGTTTTCTTTGGCGGGGTTGATTTTCCCGTTTTCTTTGTCGGCGTTGATATTCGCGTTTTCTTTGGCAGTGTCGCCGTTCTAGTTTTCTATGTCGGTGTCGTTACATCCGTTTTCTTTGGAGGTGTCGTTCTTCCCGTTTTCTTTGACTCTCCGTCTTGTTTTTCCTTTTCTCTGTGAGTGGAAAGAGCGTTTTGTTGTTAGTAACGTTATTTATCGTTATCACTGTTGTTTCTCTCTCTCTCTCTTCTCTCTTCTCTCTCTCTCTCTCTCTCTCTCTCTCTCTCTCTCTCTCTCTCTCTCTCTCTCTCTCTCTCTCTCTCTCTTTGGTATCGGTTATTACTTTATCATCTATTAGTGTGATTCAAATTATTTCGCAGCACCAGTCATTATTGTTTTTGTTAATACCGTTATTATTTGTTTCAATTTTGTCAATAGTATTATAACCAATGGTATTAATACTACTATCATGGTTGTTATTGGTTACTTTGTTATTTATGATATCCATTGTCATTGTCATCATTTTCTCATTCCCATAATTATCATTAATGGAATACGCAGAATCATCATCATTATTTAACTCATCATTGTCATTAACACATTCATCCTTACCATAAATATTATTGGTATCACCATCACATACACAAAAATATTACCATTTTTATCATCAACACCTTCTACAGCAATATTACCATCATCATCATCACACCATTCACACCGCCATCACCATTATCACCACAGCAACCACCATCACCACCTGTCCGAATCCCTACATTTTTTTATCTGTAACTAGCATAAACGGAGGGAATCGGACACAACTGAACTAGTGTTCGAATTGCAGTCAAGTTAACAGTTCAACCTCGAAAGCGTATTTTTGGGATTTAGCAAAGAATAAATCAGATGAATGTAAAGGAATTTATCAAATTAAATAAAGCAGCGGTAACTGGTACGAGATAAACGATGTAATAAAATGAGTAGAAATTACATGGAAAATAATTCACTGTTGTTAATCATATCTCACAAAATATGTTTTTTTGTCCATTTTTATTTATATAATAAATTCCTTATTTGCTCAACTTCATGCTCAAAATTATATATCATACTGTTTAGTATCACTTTTTTTCAAATTCCATATGCATATTAGATCATTTCATTTAAAGGATTATTTGAATACTGGAAAAGAAAAAAATTGTATTTCCCGTTTTTTGTGTGTGTTTACAAGCCGCAAATATGCTTGTCATTACATACATTTGTTATTATACAGCGACCGAAATGTAGATAGACTAGCTTAGTCTGTCATATAAAAATGATAAACTAATTATGATGCATTGAATTTATATGTGTAGGTATGTGTGTGTGTGTGTGTGTGTGTGTGTGTGTGTGTGTGTGTGTGTGTGTGTGTGTGTGTGTGTGTGTGTGTGTGTGTGTTCATGTATACATGCGTACACATATACATATATGCAGTCATAAATACATATATATGTGTTTGTGTGTGTGTGTGTGTGTATACATATACATATATTCAGATATTTTCATATATGCATATACATACACACACACACACACACACACACACACACACACACACACACAGTATATATATATATATATATATATATATATATATATATATATATATAATGTGTGTGTGTGTGTGTGTGTGTGTGTGTGTGTGTGTGTGTGTGTGTGTGTGTATGTATGTATATATCCATATACATATTACATACGTGCACATACACACACACACACACAATTTATGTGTGTGTGTGTGTATGTCGACATTTGAAGCCTATCTCAGGGGTCGAATTGTACGCTGAATATAAAATGTGAACTTTAACACTAAGAGGTGAGTGAACCACTTCCCAGAATTCTTATTGAAACCGTGTTTGGCAGTTTAACATAGCATAAATATCAAAACAGTAAGAGTATATTCGATAGGTTTCCATTATGTATTGCCAGAATTTGATTTATTTCTGCGTAGACAAAACCAACTAGATACTTTTTTCATTCTCGTTCATGCGTTTAATACATTTACACATGACACAATGAGAGTGTCTCCGAATTGTTTATGAATTGCCGCTGGGTTTTGTTTTTGTTTTTTGTTTGTTTGTTTGTTTGTTTGTTTTTTTGTTTGTTTGTTTTCCAATAGGACTGGGGAAGTGGAGATGCTTTTTTCAGGGTGTCTTATCCGGCGAATATAACCTGAATTGCACATTAGAATTTTAGTGATCGATTCATGCGTCGGATTGACATATAAGCCGGCATATAAATATGTATACATATATTCACACACACACACATATATATATATATATATATATGTGTGTGTGTGTGTGCATGTATGTATATGTTCACATACACGCATAATATATATAATATATATATTATATATATTATATATATATATATATATATATATATATATATATACATATATACATAATACATAAATATATATGCGTATATGTGTGCATATATACAGTATATCTACTATATATTTCTACATTTACGTGTGTGCGTGTGCATGTACATGTATGTATCATGTGACCGTATGTATGCATATAAGAATGTACATATGTATATATGTATTCATTTATGTTTGTATGTTTCTATTTGAACGTTTGCTCCACCGCTTAAACGAGAGGAATTTCTTATCGCGAGATAAAGATAGAAATGTCAAAATAAACAAACCGCTTAATTGCATATTTCGAAAAACAAGAAACATGATTAAATAAATTACTCTATGAAATAAAACAAACAGCGATAATTTTCTTATGAAGTTCATATTCATTTCATGACGATTTTATTATTTAATCTTATTGGTAAACTTGGTGACCCCTTTATTTAATTGTCATGACTGCTGACTCCGCGCACGTTTCCGACCTTCCGTGATTTCCGTTCTTTAGTTTTCAGCGTTTCTTGCTCCTTCTCGGCGCCTCTTTGTCTTTCTGTCTTTCGTTCCGCCATCCACTCGCTCTCAAACTTGTCTAATTAGTTATCCTCTGCCTTCCCCCTGCTTCTCTTCCCTACGAATGTTAAGTTCTCCGAATTAAGTTCTTCGTCCCTCTCTTTGCTCCCTCCCCGAGTCCCGAAAACTCTGGATATTTCTTGCAGATTGTTGGCAATAGTTTCCTTGCCCCTTTTACTTTTCTTCGGACTCTTTTTCTTTGTCACATCTAATGTCCAAGATATTTTCAGCTTTTTTTTTGTTGTTTTGTTTTTGTCTTTAGGTTTGCAGTGAGTCTTCAGTCTTCATACTTATATTAAGAAGTAGATGTACAACAGTTATCATTGCTTCGTTCTAATTATATTTTTATTTCTAGTTACTTTGTTACTCTTATGGTCTCTATCTTACTTAGATATATGAATTTCCTCTTCGGTGTAACGTCACCGATGTGTAGCTCACGCATTGGTGTGTTACCGATCTTTAACTAACGCATAAAACAATGACATATCTGTAATGCATCCTTAGAATATCACCAATTTGCGACTTACACCTTGTCTGTTACTAGTTTGTAAGTCTGTTCACATCCTTACGATTAATAACGAACTTAACTTACAATAGTAATGATTATGACTATGACGATTTTTATAGTAAGAAATATTAGTACTGATAATAATGATAGTAATAATAAAAATAAAAGTGATAGTAAAAAATACAACAATATTGGTAATGATAATGTTAATAATAACAGAACGGTAACAACACCAATAATAATGATGATAATAATAATCATGATAATATCAGTAATAATGACTGCAATAGTAAAAGTTATATCAGTCATGATAATCATAATTAAATCTATCATCGTCACCACCATATCATCATAATAATAACAATGATTATAACAATAATAATGGTAATAATAATAATAGTGAAAATAATTATCTGTATACGAAGTAATACAAAAAATGATATAAGAATATCAAGTGGAAAACATGCGCAGTCAAAAATAAATAGATAAATAAATGAAAATAATAAAAAAAAAAAAAAAAAAGCAGCACAATTAACGACCAAGAGATAACGCTGACACAGTTTACATTTTCGTTGAAGTTTATATTTTTAAGGAAGAGATAGATGCATGTTGAAACTCAAATAAACAGTGTTGTATAAAGACTATCTATCTAATAGTTTATTTCTATATATGTTCTATAAATATTTACGCCCTATTTTTGGAAATGACAAAATATATGAGCTCTTTCATAAGGTTATTTTTTCTAGTCTCCATTTCTGTGATTTCATGCTTATTCCTCCTGGTAAGTAAGAGATAATTCGAAGTCGGGTGTCAGTCGCATTGTTTATATATAGGAAACTTTATAGGTTATTCCTTGCACAATGCCTTGAAATTATGCTGTCTTACACTAAGTGAAAGTCTGGTAATTACCATTTCTTTGTTTTGTTGTTGTAGTTGTTTTTGTTGTTATTTTTGTTGTTTGTTTATCTGATGGCGTTGTATGAGAGTTGAGCGGTCATGTCTTCCGAGGTAATTTTCCGTTTATTTCCGTCTAACCGTCTCGGACGGATATCAGAGTTCAACCGTTAGCATGAATCAATTTGTAATACATAACAGTTCTTTGATATTAGAATGTATTAAATGAAAGGAAAACAATACGTGTTTGTAATGTCAATAATTTGTATTCCCTCCCTCTGCCGTTAAACAGCCTCACAACATAACGTGATCTCACCACTCCTTACTCCCTCGCCAAGAAGAGTGACGCAAGCTGCTCGCAAACCGTGAGATGTCTCAATGGCGCATAATAAGGTGCATATACCAATCCCAGTCTATATTAGCTCAGAAGCACCTTATGTGAAGCCTTTGTCAATCCAACTGAGGTATTTATATCCCCGTTTGAAGCTCTACAAAGCCCTGTATACTGATAATGGTTTAATCATTTGATTTATTAAACGGTATTGAATGTGAGGATATACTGTTCCATTCGCCATCTACGCCATGAGAATAAAATCATGCGAAATACTTATTTTACTTTTCAGATAATAAAAATTAATTAGAATGATAAATATATAGACAGACAACGTAGTGTCATCGAAATGCACGTTCCAAATAGCTGGTTCATTAGTCTCAGTCCTCGAATAATGTAATGAGATCGTCATATGGCAACACAAGCCATGGGCGGAGCTAAAAAAAAAAAAAAATACGTCCAGCTCCTTTTTAGCCACAAGTAATGGTAACAATGCTTTTTTCTGACTGTACTAGCCTACAGAAAAATAATGAGGATGATAATAATGATAATAATAATGATAACGATGATAATAGTGATGAAAATAACAACAATATCGTTGATACAGCAACAATAATAATAATAATAACACTAACAACGATAATGCTAAAAATAGAGTAGTATCATGTTTGTGTCGTCAATTATTATCCCATTTTACACTTAAATGAATTAATTCCATGTCCGCTGTCACACTGAAGATGATTCCAGGCATAATATATAAAAAAGTCTAAAAGTTTAATATACTTTCAAAGGTAAAATATAAGCGGAACGGACCAAAAAAAACGGTAGAAACTCAAGCAGAAAATCAATAATAATGACGATAATAACAATAACTATAAAAATAATAATAATAGGGATAATAATGATAACGGTGATCGTAATGACGATGATAACAATAATAGTATTAATGATAGCAATAATAACAATGATCCTGCTAATGATAATAACTAGTAGAAGTCAAAATATTCACTCAAGCATCATATTTAGCCCCTAGTCTCTCCTGCTACCAAGAAAACCTATATGGTCGCGTCGTCCTACTGTTTGGCTCTAAATTTTCTCTAAGATCTAAGTCATAGCACATTTTGAGTATACAGAGCGATAAATAAGCTTCTTAAATCATCTCTGGCAGCTGTATTCATCTCAACATTTGCATACCAAGGACACGTTTGCCTAACACGCCCGCAATGTTCAATGATGAAAATACACAACACGTATAGCTAAATTTTCTCTAAAGATCTAAGTCATAGCACGTTTGAGTTCTAGAGCGATAAATAAGCTTCTTAAATCATCTCTGGCAGCTGTATTCATCTCAACATCTGCATACCAAGGACACGTTTGCCTAACACGCCCGCAATGTTCAATGATGAAAATACACAACACGTATAGCTAAATTTTCTCTAAAGATCTAAGTCATGGCACGTTTGAGTTCTAGAGCGATAAATAAGCTTCTTAAATCATCTCTGGCAGCTGTAATGATCTCAACATCTGCATACCAAGGACACGTTTGCCTAACACGCCCGCAATGTTCAATGATGAAAATACACAACACGTATAGCTAAATTTTCTCTAAGATCTAAGTCATAGCACGTCTGAGTTTAGAGTGATAAATAAACTTCTTAAGTCATCTCTGGCAGCTGTATTCATCTCAACATTTGCATACCAAGGACACGTTTGCCTAACACGCCCACAATGTTCAATGATGAAAATACACGTGTTGTTTATTTATATAAATATACAATGATAAATATACAGAACACGTATAGCTACCCTTACCCTAACGAGGCGTAGAAACGAATTTCAGAATACAGTTCAGGATATCCCTTCAGCTCCCACGAACGTTGAAATCCTCGTTAGGCACAAAAGAGAAAAAAAATAATGGAGCTCCGGTCGGTTTTACATGAGAAAGAAAGAAAGAAAGATAACAACGCACTGATACCACGATAACTTTCGAACATCCTGCACAAGAGATAATTTACCGTCAACCGTGTCTGGTGGATTCCGTTGACTATGTAAAGCCT